TCGCAATAAGTGCTATGTACAAGTCATATTTAAATACTAAATTTAAACAGTCAGTGGCTTTAACTTATGCAAATATTAACAGGTTTCTTTATTACCAGAAGACAGATAAAAAAAAGCTACAACTCCAAAGCTGCGTGAGAACCACTTTATTATATTATCATTCCGTAAAAACTACTAAACAGTATATAAAAACATCACAGAACCACTTTGTTATATTATCGTTACGTAAAAACTACTAAACAGTTTATAGAAACATCACAGAACCACTTTGTTATATTATCATTCCGTAAAAACCACTAAACAGTTTATAGAAACATCACAGAACCACTTTGTTAGTTTATCATTCCGTAAAAACTACTAAACAGTTTATAGAAACATCACTGAACAAGATTTCAGAGCTGCATTTCCTCGTAATATTCCATACTTTGTTTTTAAGTCTGTCTGGTTTACAGGATATCTGTGTGTGTACTTCCTTCTTGTTGCTGGTGAAGGTTAAACAAATGACAACTTTTTTTATCATGCAACACTTTACTTGTTTTGGCTGTTAATGGTAAGTGGTAAACACCCAAACTTCATTTTTTCCTTCAACTTGGTGTACTCAGATTGAAGTGACAACAGATGTCATCACCATTCTCACTGAGAGAGCACCAACCAGATATCATCTCTGTTCTTACACAATGTGAAATTATAATCGTTTTCACTCAGAGTGCAGCCAGTAAACTTCAACATCTTTCTTAACGAGAGAATATCCCCATCGTTGGGCTTGGCCCATCTGGTCCTCTCGCTGACGTTAGGCCTTTATTTTTTATCTTTTCTTATAACGAGTTATGTTGTAATTTCAGCCGCTAACCAGAGACACAAATATAGGCTGGTTTTAATGTTGTTTTATATTTGTTTAATAGACAAAAATTGTAGTGGATTTTCTGATACTACAAGTCTGTTGTTATAACCCTCCTGGGCTTTAAAAGGCGAATATATGTTTCCACTATGTTTGTTTTATATCGCTATGTGTGTGTATATGTGCACACTGGCGAAATAACAAGTCAATAAGATGAAAAGACTTGTTTAAAACAGTCAAGCAGTCAATCAATGTAAAGTAAAAACCATATACTAGTAGTGAAAAGACGAATTCATGTTGGAAAAGAGCTCAAGGTTAATGTAAAAAAATGTATTAGACATCATTTGAAAACGGAAGAACAGATATTAATGAACTTTGTTAGAGCAGAAACTAATTATTAATTTCACTTCAAACTCAACAGTTCACACTGTCATCTTATCCACATTGCTGTTTGTTCTCATGTATACTTAAAGCTTTAGGGATTATTCACAGACCTCATATACCATGAAGACTAGAACACCACCCTATTTTAAAAACGAATCGATGGCATTTTTCACAATTATAAAAACATCTATCTTTCTTTAGGAGTACGGTTTTGGGAAAAATTTGCAATAGTCACTTCCAGATAAAATATTTATATATTCATATCATAAAGATATACCCAGACTGGTGATTTAATTTTTTTACGACGGGGATATCCCTTGTACGTAATGGCATTGGAAAATAAAGGAATGTGGATAAACCTGGGGTACCAGGACCACCAAGAAAGAGGCTTGCAACAAGTAAAACCCCAGCCGTGGTAAATAAAGTTAAAAGTTTTGTAACAGGTGAGAATCCAGGAACACAAAAGCCCACGTTCCCCAGCCAACGGTATGCGACATAATCAAGAAGGATATCCGTTTAAATACGAGACCAACAAAGAACGGATTCGCCAAAACGTGGCTTAGAGTCACATTTCACTTCAACCGTCCTTACCTGAAGCAGTTAGAGAATGAAGCTATTCCATACGAACACTTGCCAGTCAATTCGGCAAACGCAATGTCCGTAGATTTCTGTGGGTTCGCAATGTTGCATCGGACGCTATGAAACCGTTGTCTCCGTACATTGGGTGGATTATGGAAAGCAAACAGGGATGAGTGGCAAGTTTTGGATATTATAGCCTTACGTTGGGGTACTTTGCAATCGAAACTACACTGCAAGGCTATTGTCAAAATGCAAGATCGTCGGATACAGCATGAACAAGTGTGGCGATATGGACTGTAGTGACGTGGTGAGGCTCCAAAATCGTTTCAATATAACGTACTCAATCTCTGCATGAGGTATTGTTTTTAAGTAGTTTTATTGGAACTTTCAAACCATACTGTTCAAGATTCAGGTTGCTTATTCACTATAATGGGCAGTGTTTTTTTGTATTTCAATTCTATAAAGTATTAGTATGCTTTCACATTATCTTGAATTTTAATATATGCTGCCCGTTTAGATTTAAATAATGTCCTTCAACACCACAAACTGACTTTTAACTTAAGGTAGAGTAACTATTATTACCAGTTCTCAAAGCTATTAAGGATATCCATTATCATTATTGCACTTATCCTGAACTCTAATAATATTTAACTATTCTCAAAGTTATTCTGTTTATATTTGAAACGTGCTCTTACAGGGCAAAATTTACCTGGTATTGAAAATTTGTACCAGATTTTCAGTTATACAAAGTACGAGGAAATATATTTTGAATTAACTAGACATTTATCGCCATAGTTTTATATTCTAGCCAGAGGACACTTTGCTAAGGACCGCGTTCATATAAACATCTATCATGGTTAGTTAAACCTTGCCACGTTCATTTTTTGAACCGTTTGAAATTTATCATGTATAGTTGAAGATCCTCATTTTAGTTAAATATTTGTTACGTCAGTTTAAGATTTGCCACATTGAGTTAAAAATTCGTCACGTTGAGTTAAGAATCTGTAACATCCAATAAAATATATGTGACAATCAGTTAAAGATCTGTCGTATTTAATTAAAACTTTGTCACGTTTCATTAAAGTGTTGTCACAATGAGTTAAAGATCTGTTTTTTACGCTCAGTTAAAAATATGCCATATTAATTTTAAACTCTGTCGTATTCAGTTTAAAATCCGTTAAGTTCAGTTATAGACGTATCATATATAGCTAGATACATAACTGAAAAAATACCTAATCGTTTTGTGTGTATTGTTTATGTCTTATTTTCCAGATGGTATTAGATCGTCAAGAAATTAATGTCGTTTTTTAGAACACTTTCATTACCCCCCCCCCAAAAAAAACGAAAAAAAACGTACATCACGTATAATAGTTAAACGAATCGCTTAAACGTCACGTTCTTAGTCTTAGTCTTAGTTACTCCCGTTCCGTTGGGAACATTGGTCAGCGAGACCTCGCCATCTGCCTCTGTCATGAGCG